TACTACTGGTGACATATGCAATGTATGTAACAATTCACACAATGAAACAATGGATGCGCAAGAACTGGCGGGAGACAGCTGAGCACATTCAGGAGAGCTGAATGCATGCATTCTGGAGAGAGATGCCCCATATCTTCGACCCTCCCCTTCTTCTTGTCTCAAAATTTAAAATTACACTGGAAACATATTATCTTCACAGATATTTTAGATACTTTTCACTGACAGTGTCAACTCAATATTCAGCTAGTCCTGATTTCATTTAGACAGGAGTAATTATATAATTTTGGCAAAACATCAATTTACTTTAGGGGAAGCCAGCATACGAACAGTGCACTGCACCCACTAACTTTCCTTTCCAATTCGCAAGTGGCTGAAACCAGAGATCTGTATATGTAATGACGAGATGCTCATGTCTCCGCCCTAACAATGGGAGTCATTGTCCCAAAGGCGGAAAGGGAGGCAACGAGTTTAGGTCTGCATATTAAACCCATAGAAACGCATTGGGATTATTCAAGACAGATTTTAGCTTCGCTTCTTCCCCTCTGCGGAAACTATCTCACCGGAGAAAGCATCAGAGTGAGCAAAACAGCGCCAATGTATCCGATGCTGTCTGGCCAAAAAGCGTATGACAAGCCATACTCTTTTTGTTCAGACAGCATCAGATACATGGTCTACACATGCTGAGACAGAAGGGCACTGTTTCACTCGGTCGGATGCTTTATCTGAGCTTGATGCGTCTTTCTGTTGGCGTGCATCTTAGTGTGGTGTGCCGAAGCCGGAAAACGTGAAGTTGAATTGTTCCCGTTGAGGGAGGAGCTGATTTTTTGTATATGACAGTAAAACATTCTTATGATGACTATAACATTAGTTGTCACCTTCAATTCTTGCAAATGTTCTCATAAAAATTATATTTCAACAATCTGTCTTCTAAGGCAAATTTGCCAAACTGCTAAATTTGGAACCAATCAGAACTCCCGTACATATCCCTCATATGATGAAGGCAGCCAATGGCCTGCTTCTATCTACGATGTAAACACAGACTCTTGTGATAACGCAAGATGATGTCTAATGAAGAGGAACAGATAGCTAGCTCCCAAAACGGAAATAAGATAAATATCTGTTTTCGAGTGCACTTGGAATATACAGCATGCAATACGAATTGTCTTGCTCGTATGAAGAGGTAACTCCGTTGACCATTTATTAAATGTATTTAAAGCTAGCCAATGTTACAGTTTGACTAGCCTAGCCAGCTACTGTAAATGTCAATATGTGCTTCATTATCTATCTCTCTGTCAGTGAATTGACATTTTTATAATGTTTTCGCATTATTGTATGTCTCTTTCAAGTAGCTAGCTACAAGCTTAAAGAAACATTCAATCATATACTTTGCATAGAAACCCACATTACATTTTTTTTTTTTTTTTACAAATGACAGCTGCATATGCATATTAGCCAATACATATAGCATAGCCTACACATATAGCATACCTTGCAATACTATCTGCACTAAAAACAGTTGTACAATGTTCTCTGCGATAAGATAACCCAGAGTTTGATTTCTAAACCAGATGAGTTCTCAAACAGCAGCTGCCCAATGCCATGGTGGGCATGAATAATGTTGGATGCATTGGAATATAAGAGATGGAGAATGATAAAGAGACTGTAGGATTATAGAACAATGCACTAGACTGTGTAGGCCAAAACCCACAAAGAAAATACAACAGGCAAATGCATACAGTGCATTTGGAAAGTATTCAGACCCCTACACTTTTTCAACATTTTGTTACGTACAGCCTTATTCTAAAATGGATTACATTGTTTTCCCCCCTCATCAATCTACACACAATATCCCATAATGACAAAGCAAAAACAGGTTTTTAGACATTTTTGCAAATATATATATATATATATATATATATAAACTGAAATATAACATTTACATAATTATTCAGACCCTTTACTCAGTAAAGGATCTCTGCAGATCCTCTTAAGCTCTGTCAGGTTGGATGGGGAGCGTCGCTGCACAGCTGTTTTCAGGTCTCTCCAGAGATGTTCGATCGGGTTCAAGGCCGGGCTCTGGCTGGGCCATTCAAGGACATTCAGAGACTGGTCTCGAAGCCACTCCTGCGTTGTCTTGGCTGTGTGCTTAGGGTCGTTGTCCTGTTGGAAGGTGAACCTTCACCCCAGTCTGAGGTCCTGAGCACTCTGGAGCAGGTTTTCATCAAGGATATCACTGTACTTTGCTCCATTCATCTTTCCCTCAATCCTGACTAGTCTCCCAGTATGATGCTGCCACCACCATGCTTCACCGAAGGGATGGTATTGGCCAGGTGATGAGTGGTGCCTGGTTTCCTCCAGATGTGGCATTCAGGCCAAAGCGTTCAATCTTGGTTTCATCATGTTTCTCATGGTCTGAGTCATTTACAGTGGGGAAAAAAAGTATTTAGTCAGCCACCAATTGTGCAAGTTCTCCCACTTAAAAAGATGAGAGAGGCCTGTAATTTTCATCATAGGTACACGTCAACTATGACAGACAAAATGAGAAAAAAAAATCCAGAAAATCACATTGTAGGATTTTTAATGAATTTATTTGCAAATTATGGTGGAAAATAAGTATTTGGTCAATAACAAAAGTTTCTCAATACTTTGTTATATACCCTTTGTTGGCAATGACACAGGTCAAATGTTTTCTGTAAGTCTTCACAAGGTTTTCACACACTGTTGCTGGTATTTTGGCCCATTCCTCCATGCAGATCTCCTCTAGAGCAGTGATGTTTTGGGGCTGTCGCTGGGCAACACGGACTTTCAACTCCCTCCAAAGACTTTCAATGGGGTTGAGATCTGGAGACTGGCTAGGCCACTCCAGGACCTTGAAATGCTTCTTACGAAGCCACTCCTTCGTTGCCCGGGCGGTGTGTTTGGGATCAAGACCCAGCCACGTTTCATCTTCAATGCCCTTGCTGGTTTTCACTCAAAATCTCACGATACATGGCCCCATTCATTCTTTCCTTTACACGGATCAGTCGTCCTGGTCCCTTAGCAGAAAAACAGCCCCAAAGCATGATGTTTCCACCCCCATGCTTCACAGTAGGTATGGTGTTCTTTGGATGCAACTCAGCATTCTTTGTCCTCCAAACACGACGAGTTGAGTTTTTACCAAAAAGTTATATTTTGGTTTCATCTGACCATATGACATTCTCCCAATCCTCTTCTGGATCATCCAAATGCACTCTAGCAAACTTCAGACGGGCCTGGACATGTACTGGCTTAAGCAGGGGGACACGTCTGGCACTGCAGGATTTGAGTCCCTGGCGGCGTAGTGTGTTACTGATGGTAGGCTTTGTTACTTTGGTCCCAGCTCTCTGCAGGTCATTCACTAGGTCCCCCCGTGTGGTTCTGGGATTTTTGCTCACCGTTCTTGTGATCATTTTGACCCCACGGGGTGAGATCTTGCGTGGAGCCCCAGATCGAGGGAGATTATCAGTGGTCTTGTATGTCTTCCATTTCCTAATAATTGCTCCCACAGTTGATTTCTTCAAACCAAGCTGCTTACCTATTGCAGATTCAGTCTTCCCAGCCTGGTGCAGGTCTACAATTTTGTTTCTGGTGTCCTTTGACAGCTCTTTGGTCTTGGCCATAGTGGAGTTTGGAGTGTGACTGTTTGAGGTTGTGGACAGGTGTCTTTTATACTGATAACAAGTTCAAACAGGTGCCATTAATACAGGTAACGAGTGGAGGACAGAGGAGCCTCTTAAAGAAGAAGTTACAGGTCTGTGAGAGCCAGAAATCTTGCTTGTTTGTAGGTGACCAAATACTTATTTTCCACCATAATTTGCAAATAAATTCATTAAAAATCCTACAATGTGATTTTCTGGATTTTTTTTTCTCAATTTGTCTGTCATAGTTGACGTGTACCTATGGTGAAAATTACAGGCCTCTCTCATCTTTTTAAGTGGGAGAACTTGCTCAATTGGTGGCTGACTAAATACTTTTTTCCCCCACTGTAGGTGCCTTTTGGCAAACTCCAAGCATGCTGTCATGTGCCTTTTACTGAGGAGTGGCTTCTGTCTGGCAACTCTACCATAAAGGCCTGATTGGTGAAGTGCTGCAGAGATGGTTGTCCTTCTGGAAGGTTCTCCCATCTCCACAGAGGAACTCTGAAGCTTTGTCAGTGTGACCATCGGGTTCTTGGTCACCTCCCTCACCAAGTCCCTCCCCTGATTGCTCAGTTTGGCTGGGCGGCCAGCTCTAGTAAGAGTCTTGGTGGTTCCAAACTTCTTTCATTTAAGAATGATGGAGGCCGCTGTGTTCTTGGGGACCTTCAATGCTGCAGAAATTCTTTGGTACCCTTCCCCAGATCTGTGCCTCGACACAATCCTGTCTCGGAGCTCTACTGACAATTCCTTCGACCTCATGGCTTGGTTTTTGCTCTGACATGCACTGTCAACTGTGGGACCTTATATAGACAGGTGTGTGCCTTTCCAAATCATGTCCAATCAATTGAATTTACCACAGGTGGACTCCAATCAAGTTGTAGAAATATCTCAAGGATGATCAATGAAAACAGGATGCACCTGAGTCTCATAGCAAAGGGTCTGAATACTTATGTAAATAAGGTATTTCAGTTTTTTATTTTTCATACATTTGCAAACATTTCTAAAAACCTGTTTTGCTTTGTCATTATGGGGTTTTGTGTGTAGATTGATGAGGGAAATTTTTTCCCAATCCATTTTAGAATAAGACTAACGGAACAAAATGTGGAAAAAGTGAAGGGGTCTGAATACCTTCCGAATGCACTGTATGTGGTCTCAATGTCTAAATAGTGACGGCAGGGCTTGTTCAAGCTGCAGGACTTGGTGAATAGATCATGGGAGACAAAGTGAGAGACAATAATGAATAAAGATGTTCAAACAAGCACGTGTATCTCTATCTTCCGAATGCACTGTATGTGGTCCCAATGTGTAAATAGTGATGGCAGGGCTAGTTCAAACTGCAATAGGATGGTTCTCCTCACAGGTGAGTGAATCAGCCCATGCTTGGTGAATAGCACTAGGTTGATCTCTGTGAGTAGGAAACTGGAGAGTTGAATAGATAATGTGAGACAAAAGTGAGAGACAAGAATGAATCAAATATATCATCACAGCAAAGGAATTTAGTTTGTGAGCTAGAAAATGAATATCCCGACAGTCTGAGGCAGGGGGCTCTGCAATCATCCTACTCCAACTATTGACATTTACATTTACATTTTACATTTTAGTCATTTAGCAGACGCTCTTATCCAGAGCGACTTACAGTTAGTGAATACATATTTTTTTATACTGGCCCCCCGTGGGAATCGAACCATTGACAAGGATAATGCAGCATTTATTTTTTGTCATTATGAATGAAAGTAGTGGGTCCTGCCTTGATGATTGTATTAGATTTACACTACTTGTCCTATAGATTTTTGTAGTCTTAAATTATTACTTGGAATAAATAGATAGCTAAAATGCTCCTTGTCCTGGAATTACATGCTAGCTAGTGGTAAAGCATCTGCTCCTGCTAGCTAGCAACATATCTACTTGTTGTAACTAGCTAGCTATCTAGCAAGCTAACGTTAGCTACATTACAAAGGTTGCTGTGTTCTAAGTTGGGAGTAATTTTACTGCTTGCATTGATGGTATCACATTTCTATAACTAAATAGTTAGATTACAAAAAATATATATATATATACTTTACCTGATGTCACCAGCTGTCTAACACCTTAGATACGGGTAACGCGATTGGCAAATGTGATCAGCAGAGTTTTGATTGGTTTACAGTTTAGTGCTCGGCAGCATTTGCCTGTCCTGCTAGTGAACATAAAAGTATGTATTTTGAAAATGAAAGCAGATATATGGCTACGGCCCACCACCTATGTCGATCAAATAAATTATCAATATTTCAATATTTTATTTGGATGGGTAAGGAGATATGGTAGGGAGAGCAAGGCCCCGCCCATAACGTCGGTGTGCTACTATCAGTGGGCTTTGTCCCTCCTCAAATTATTCATACCCCCACCCTGTCCCAACAGGTACATCTGCAGACTCACTGATGCGTATATAATCTGAAATGGCTAACTAGAATTACAAGATTAACAATAGACATCAAGGCGGTTTGTGTGTGTGTGTGTTGCCTGTGTGTGTAGGTGTAGGTGTGTGTGTGTGTGTGTGTTGTTCAGCTTCAGTTGAATGAGTTGTATAGTAGCTCATTTCACCTATTATAGAATTCTTAGGGTGTGGATGAATTGAGCTTAATACAGCAGCAACCTGTGGTGTGGGTGTCAGTCCTAAAAACAGGACCATCTCTTATGGGGTGTTGGATGTCAGGTGATAATGATTTTGCTGTCACAGTTGTCTAGAGACCAGTCAAGCATGAGATTGAGGACTACGTAGGTCATTTATCTCTGAAGTCAGCATGGGGGCAATCTGAACTAGGAGGTGAGTTTTCTTCAAGGGCCATATTGTTTTTAATGTATCACGCCCCAGTCTGGTACAAATAGATGCAGTATTTGTTCACCTGATGTGATATAAGAGTGGGTAACATGTAGTAGTACACAGTTATGGGCAAAAATTACAAAATACAATAACAAAATAAAGATACAAAATACCATAAAGATCAATGTATCAAAATAAACTACAAAATACTTGTATTTTGTCATGTATTTCATTAAAATACATATATTTTGTATTTTTTTAAACAAAAATACATTCGCAAGTAGCCGCACGAACAGCAACAACATTCTCAGTAACGGTTACAAAAAAAGTTTTACTAGGTATGGCTGTGATATGTTGTTGTTTATTTACCTTTAGTTGAACAAGTCACTCTGGATAATCGTGTCTGCTAAATGGCCAAAATGTAAATGTGTATGTGAAAATGAACATACCAAAATGAACTGCAAAGCACACTGTGTATTGTTTCGGGGCAGAGCTCATTAGAATAATACTCACCATGCTTTGCAATTGTTAATTTTTACATTTACACTCAGTATACCAAACATGAGGAACCTTTTGCCCTCAGAACAGCCTCAATTCGTCGGGGCATAGACTCTGCAAGGTGTCGAAAGCGTTCCACAGGGTTGCTGGCCCATGTTGACTCCAATGCTTCCCACAGTTGTGTCAAGTTGGCTGGATGTCCTTTGGGTGGTGGACCATTCTTGATACAAACGGGAAACTGTTGAGCGTGAAATACCCAGCAGCATTGTAGTTCTTGACACAAACCGGTGCGCCTGGCACCTACTACCATACCCCGTTCAAAGGCACTTCAATCTTTTGTCTTGCCCATTCACCCTCTGAATGGCACACATACACAATCCATTTCTCAATTGTCTCAAGGCTTAAAAATCATTCTTTAACCTGTCTCCTCCCCTTCATCTACACTGATTGAAGTGGATTTAACAAGTGACATCAATAAGAGATCATAGCTTTCACCTGGATTCACCTGGTCAGTCTATGTCATGGAAAGAGCAAGTGTTGTTAATGTTTTGTATATTTAGTGTTTATTTAGTTCATTTAGCAGATGATTTTATCACACCATAGTGCTATCAGGCTTCTGATCCCAATACAGGGTGAAAGGGGAGCCATAAAATGTGAACCGCTATAAAAAAAATGGTATAGAAAAGTTTTTTGTATTTTGAAAATACAAATTACTGTATTTGGAAAATACAAAATACGTTGGAGTGTAGTTCAGCCCAGTGTAATTAAAATCACAAAATACTCAGAAGTAATTAAAATTCCTATTTCAAATACATGTAACAGAAATACTGCCCATCTCTAGTAGTACTTTAGGCTGTTGCTTTGTGTCCTTTTCTTAGTAACAGTAATGTTTCACAGTGCGAAGGCTACCTATTGTCCTCTGGAATGCACCAGACAGTCATGGCTGCTCATCTTGAAAATGATACTGGCGGGTTGATGCTTGTATTTATTTACAGTGCCTTCAGAAAGTATTCATACCCCTTGACTTATTCCATATTTTGTTGTGTTACTGCCTGAATTCAAAACTGATTAAATATATTTTTTTCTCACCCATCTACACATCTACAATACCCCATAATGACGAAATGAAAACATGTTTTTAGAAATGTTTGCAAATGTATTGAAAATAAAATACAGAAACATCTAATTCACACCTGTGAGTCAATACTTTGTAGAAGCACCTTTAGCAGCGATTACAGCTTATTGACTCAAGAAATTTCACTTTTTCATTTCTTATTCATTTGTGAAAATTTAAAATCTAAAAACATAATTCAATTTTGACATTATGGGCTATTGTGTGTAGGCCAGTGACAAAAAAATCAAGAAACTGTATGAATGTAGGTCCATTATCAAATCTACACAATTTCGATTTGGTTTTAGTCATTTTAAAGTATATTAAGTTATTCCCCCCCCAGTAAAATGCTACTTGAGTAAAAGGCTAAAAGTATCTGGTTTTAAATGTACTTAAGTACAGGGGTGGAAAAAGTACTAAATTGTCATACTTGAGTAAAAGTAAAAAGTAAAAGTAAATGCTATACATCAAATTCCTTATATTAAGCAAACCAGATGGCACAATTTCCTTTTTTGTTATATAAAAAAATGTTTTTACGGACAACCAGGGGCACACTCCAACATCATTTACAAATGCAGTATTTGTGTTTAGTGAGTCCGCCAGATTGGAGGCAGTTGGGATGACAACACATTATATTGATAGGTGCATAAATTGGACCATAATTCTGTCCTGCCTGAGCATTCGAAATGTAATGAGTACTTTTTGGTGTCAGGGAAATGTATGAGGGTAAAAAGTACAGATTTTCTTTAGGAATGTAGTAGAGTGAAAGTACAAGTTGTCAAAAATATAAATAGTAAAGTAAAGTACAGATACCCCCCAAAAACGACTTAAGTAGTACTTTAAAGTATTTTTACTTGAGTACTTTACACCGCTCCTCTCTGCACGTGATCGTCCGATTGGCCTTTACTGTACTTAAGTGTTATTTACCTGTATGTACCTGACAGACATTATGACTTTAAGGATGTGTCTTTTTACTTTTTACATCCAATACCCTGATCAATTAAACTTGTTTGCGGACATGAGCCATGAATGTACTGGCAGGACTATTTGTTGCCATATAAAAAACACTTAGGGGCCCAGACAGACTGTTGTGTTGGCCCAGACTAGCGGGAGTTTCAATCCTATAGGGGCAGAGCAGATTAACACTGATGAAAGCATTTGATCGCAATCACAATCACCTGCACTACTTTAGCTACTTCAATTTGGGTGTTTGCAATGGAGATAGGACCTGTTTGCATGTGTATCTTCTGCTCTGTGTTGTGATAGAAGAGGATAACCATGTACCTACATCCATCACCACCAGATTATGGCTGTGAGTCAGATAATGGGCAGGATGTACATATTCTTCTGAAATAGTTCCAGAATTTGAGATGAGTCACTGACAGGGTAAATTTATTCATCAGACATTTTGTCAATATAGTTAGATTTTATCAGAGGATGGATATGTTTGATCAAAGACACATCAAATTAATTTCCATCTCTAATTCCATTAATCGCCTTGGTTGAACTTTGATTGATATGGAACTGACCCCAACTGACCCTCTCATTTACATGACAGTGTTGATCTGCACTTCTTACCCCTTTCTACCTCTCTCCCTCATCCCCCACCCCCCGTCCGTCCGTCCGTCTGTCTCCCTCAGGTTTCCAGGACGTCCATGTGATGATCTTTGTGGGCTTCGGTTTCCTCATGACCTTCCTGAAGCGCTACAGCTTTAGTGCCGTGGGCTTCAACTTCCTCATCGCCGCCTTCGGCCTTCAGTGGGCTCTGCTGATGCAGGGCTGGTTCCAATCTCTGGACCCCATGGACGGCAAGATCAAGATCGGCATGGAGAGGTTAAAGTTTGGCGGCTTTGGTCTAACAGTGTTAAACTAGTTTTCTTGAACTATTGAGATCAGTGAATGCTGGTATCGGATTTGATAAGTGAAAGTGATGTGGGTTTTTAAAAAAGTGATATAGACCTAGTTAAAGCATCCACTTTTTTCAGCGCAGTGGTCTCTTGGAAAGACAACAGTGAATATTGTATGGATTTATATAATTATTTAACAAACTCACCCCATTCAACATCAATGTATAGAGCCCTTCTGGCTGACCATTCACTGACTATAGTATGTATAACTTTTGCATGAATGAGTCATATGTGAAAGAGTCAGTCATGCAGAACCTAGGCCTACGTCATTGAAATCAATCCATAGAATAACATATGTTTATGGAAAAGGATCATGTGAGTGTGAGTGCCAGAGAGAACCTATTGTGATGGAGGAGAAGTGGAGGAACCGGTCGGCATGTGAAAAAATCCATCATTCAGTGCCTTCAGAAAGTATTCATACCCCTTGACTTATTCCACATTTTGTGGTGTTACAGCCTGAATTCAAAATGTATTAAATTGATTTATTTGCCACACCAATCTACACACAATAACACATTATGACAAAGTGAAAACATGTTTTTTGACATTTTTGCAAATGTATTGAAAATGAAATACAGAAATATCTTATTGACATAAGCATTCACACCCCTGAGCAAATACTTTGTAGAAGCACCTTCGCCAGTGATTATTACAACTGTGAGTCTTTCTGCGTACGTCTCTAAGAGCTTTCCACACCTGGATTGTGCAACATTTGCCAATTATTCTTTTAAAAATTCTTCAAACTGTCAAATTGGTTGCTGATCATTGCTAGTCAACCATTTTCAGGTCTTGCCATAGTTTTTCAAGTAGATTTAAGTCAAAACTGTAACTTGGCCACTCTGGAGAACATTGACTGTCTTGGTAAGCAACTCCAGTGTAGATTTAGGTTATTGTGTTTTAGGTTATTGTCCTGCTGAAAGGTGAATGAATCTCCCAGTAGCAGACTGAACTAGGTTTTTCTCTAGGATTTTGCCTGTGTTTAGCTCCATTCCGTTTATTTTTTATCCTGAAAATCTCCCCAGTCCTTAATGATTACAAGCATACCCATAACATGATGCAGCCACCAATATGCTTTAAAATATGGAGAGTGGTACTCAGTAATGTGTTGTATTGGATTTGCCCCAAACATAACATGTTTTTGCAGTATTACTTAATGCCTTGTTGCAAACAGGATGCATGTTTTGGAATATTTGTTATTCTGTACAGGCTTCCTTCTTTTCACTTTGTCAATTACGTTAGTATTGTGGAGTAATTACAATGTTGTTGACCCATCCTCAGTTTTCTCCTATCACAGCCATTCAACTGTTTTAAAGTCACCATTGGCCTCATGGTGAAATCCCTGAGCAGTTTCCTTCCTCTCCGTCAACTGAGTTAGGAAGGACGCCTGTATATTTGTAGTGACTGGGTGTATTGATACACCATCCAAAGTGTAATTAATAACTTCAACATGCTCAAAGGGACATTCAATGTCTGCCTTTTTTATTTTTACCCATCTACCAATAGGTGCCCTTCTTTGCCAGGCATTGGAAAACCTTTCTGGTCTTTGTGGTTGAATATGTGTTTGAAATTCACTGCTCGACTGAGGGACCTTACAGATAATTGTATTTATGGGGTACAGAGATGAGGTAGTCATTCAAAAATCATGTTAAACACTATTATTGCAGTCCATGCAACCTATTATGTGACTTGTTAAGCAAAATGTTTCTCCTGAATGTATTTAGACTTGCCATAACAAAGGGAATTAATACTTATTGACTCAAGACATTTCAGGTTTTTATTTTTTATACATTCTAAACACAGAATTCCAGTTTGACCTTATGGGGTATTGTGTGTAGGCCAGTGATAAAAAAAAACTCAATTGAATACATTTTTAATTCAGGCTGTAACACAACTAAATGTGGAAAAAGTCAAGGTGTGTGAATACTTTCTACAGGCACTGTATGTATCACCTGTTACTGTTGATCCTCCTGGCTTGTGAGATGTACAGTCTGTACACAGTAATGGGAGGGCAAACAAAAACACATTAGTGCTAATCACGCATTTATGATACTGCTGAAGTTTCTCCGACCTTGTGGATACAGATATGATATGTGTGGGTGCATGTCTGTGTGACGTGTGTGTGTGTGTAAGCAAACGTGTACCTGTATGTGCCCGTGTGTGCCTCTGTGTGTCTGTGCAGGCACGTGAACAGATAGAGGTCTAAGGGTGCCTGAACACCTGCCCTTTTGCCCTCCAATGAGAAAAGTGCCCTTTCAGAGAGGTGGCGTTTTTTTATTATTACATTTTTATTTCACTTTTAGTCTGTTTTCTCTCTTGTTATTTAAATGAATTGCCCATCAAACTAGCTAATTTCTCATTATTGAATCTTGGAAAATTCCTGCTCCTCTGCCCCCACTCGAGCCCACACTGACTGCACTCGTCCTGCAGGCAGAAGCTACAGGCGCCGAAAGGTAGTGTAGTAGGGGCTACCTTATAAATTGCATGTGTCATCTCACGGTTAGGAATAGGGAAGCAGAACAAACACTAATCACAGTTAAAGACTAGTTAGATTGTTTCAACGGCATAGCTAACTAGCTAACTAGCTGATTTACATAATCTACATTTGCTATGATCAGCTGATAGCCCACCCCTCTTTGCCCTCTCTTTGAGCTGTAGGCTGTTAACTTGCTGGGAGGAGTTTGATTTTGCAGAAATTAAAGGCCTATGCTAAAAAATATATGTTGAAATTTGACTACAGGAGCATTAGATAATTAACTATGAATGTAACAATTTTAAGTCAACTGTTGTTTCAGGAGGTGAGGGTGCCCTTTTCACTGAGCACGCTAATATCATAATAATTCACACACTAATACCATAATAGCAGTTCGTATCCAAGCAGAACGGACAGTTATAAAGTAGGATGTAAATTAAGGGCTCTATTCAATCCGCAGTACTGAAGAGTTGAAATGTAAAGGTAAGTTACGATTGAGCCTACATGTGCAGTGGTTACCGCGAATGCAGTTTCCGCGAACGCAGGAACATTGCCTTTACATTTTTATCATGCTGTAACGCCGAACTTCAGCGCTACGGATTGAATCGTGCCCTTAAAACCTTTTACTGCAGTGGGCTAAATCAGGGTCACAAAGAGTGTTTATTGGTAGTCTTAAACAAATCTACTTTGAAACAAAAGGATACACCTCACACACATGGTTATGGGCTTAAAAATAGAAGACACCTGTACCATGTCAGATATTGAGTTTAAATATATTCCATTTTGAGTTTGCATCCCAATATTACACTTTACAGTTGAAGTCGGAAGTTTACATACACCTTAGCCAAATACATTTAAACTCTGTTTTTCACAATTCCTGGCATTTAATCCTAGTAAAAATTCCCTGTCTTAGGTCAGTTAGGATCTCATGATGTCTTGAGATGTTGCTTCAATATATCCACATAATTTTCCTTCCTCATGATGCAATCTATTTTGTAAAGTGCACCAGTCCCTCCTGCAGCAAAGCACCCCCACAGCATGATGCTGCCACCCCCGTGCTACACGGTTGGGATGGTGTTCTCCGGCTTGCAAGCCACCCCCTTTTTCCTCCAAACATAACAATGGTCATTAAGGCCAAAAAGTTCTATTTTTGTTTCATCAGACCAGAGGACATTTCTCCAAAAAGTACGATCTTTGTCCCCATGTGCAGTTGCAAACCGTAGTCTGGCTTTTTTATGGCGTTTTTGGAGCAGTGGCTTCTTCCTTGCTGAGCGGCCTTTCAGGTTATGTCGATATAGGACTCATTTTACTGTGGATATAGATACTTTTGTACCTGTTTCCTCTAGCATCTTCACAAGGTCCTTTGCTGTTGTTCTGGGATTGATTTGCACTTTTCGCACCAAAGTATGTTCATCTCTAGGAGACAGAACGCGTCTCCTTCCTGAGCGGTATGATAGCTGCGTGGTCCCATGGTGTTTATACTTGCGTACTATTGTTTGTACAGATGAACGTGGTACCTTCAGGCGTTTGGAAATTGCTCCCAAGGATGAACCAGACTTGTGGAGGTGTACACATTTTTTTCTGAGGTCTTGGCTGATTTCTTTTCATTTCCCCAAATGTCAAGCAAAGAGGCACTGAGTTTGAAGGTAGGCCTTGAAATACATCCACAGGTACACCTCCAATTGACTCAAATGATGTCAATTAGCCTATCAGAAGCTTCTAAAGCCATGACATCATTTTCTGGAATTTTCCAAGCTGTTTAAAGGCACAGTCGACTTAGTGTATGTAAACTTCTGACCCACTGGAATTGTGATACAGTGAATTATAAGTGAAATAATCTGTCTGTAAACAATTGTTTGAAAAATTACTTGTGTCATGCACAAAGTAGATGTCCTAACTGACTTGCCAAAACTATAGTTTGTTAACAAGACATTTTTGGAGTGGTTGAAAAACTAGTTTTAATGACTCCAACCTAAGTGTATGTAAACTTCCGACTTCAACTGTATATACATCACAGAAGACTGAAATATAACAAAACTGTTTGACATAGAAACACTGGATGTTCGGCAAAAAAAAAAAAATGTATGAGAAATATAACATTCCACCCATGAGACCACTAGGTAATTTCACTGCAGGAAAGGGGTACTCTGTGTTGTGAGGTGTACAGAGTTACAGTGAGCTCCAAAAGTATTGGGACAGTGACACATTTTTTGTTGTTTTGGCTCTGTACTCAAGCACTTTGGATTTGAAATGATACAATGATGACTATGTTAAAGTGCAGACTGTTTTAGGGTATTTAAAAAAAATCCATATCAGGTGAACCGTTTAGAAATTACAGCACGTTTTGAACATAGTTACAGACACACAAATATCATACCCCCCAAAAAATGCTAACCTCCCCTGTTATTGTAATGGTGAGAGGTTAGCATGTCTTGGGGGTTTAAACACTGTTTCCCATGCTTGTTCAATGAACCATAAACAATTAATGAACATGCACCTGTGGAACGGTCGTTAAGACACTAACAGCTTACAATTAAGGCAATTAAAGTCACAGTTATGAAAACTTAGGACACTAAAGATGCCTTTCTACTGACTCTGAAAAACACCAAAAGAAAGATGCCCAGGGTCCCTGCTCATCTGCGTGAACGTGCCTTAGGCATGCTGCAAGGAGGCATGAGGACTGCAGATTTGGCCAGGGCAATAAATTGCAATGTCCGTACTGTGAGACGCCTATGACAGCGCTACAGGGAGACAGGACGGACAGCTGATCGTCCTCGCAGTGGCAGACCACGTGTAACAACACCTGCACAGGATCGGTACATCCGAACATCACACCTGTGGGACAGGTAAAGGATGGCAACAACAAATGCCCGAGTTACACCAGGAAATGCACAATCCCTCCATCAGTGCTCAGACTGTCTGAATAGGCTGAGAGAGGCTGGACTGAGGGCTGGCCTGAGGGCTCACCAGACATCACCGGCAACAACGTTGCCTATGGGCACAAACCTACCGTCGCTGGACCAGACAGGACTGGCAAAAAGTGCTCTTCACTGACGAGTCGCGGTTTTGTCTCACCAGGGGTGATGGTCGGATTCAAGTTTATCGTTGAAGGAATGAGCGTTACACCGAGGCCTGTACTCTGGAGCGGGATCGATTTGAAGGTGGAGGGTCCGTCATGGTCTGGGTCGGTGTGTCACAGCATCATCGGACTGAGCTTGTTGTCATTGCAGGCAATCTCAACGCTGTGCGTTACAGGGAAGACATCCTTCTCCCTCATGTGGTACCCTTCCTGCAGGCTCATCCTGATATGACCCTCCAGCATGACAATGCCGCCAGCCATACTGCTCGTTCTGTGCGTGAATTCCTGCAAGACAGGAATGTCAGTGTTCTGCCATGGCCAGCGAAGAGCCCGGATCTCAATCCCATTGAGCATATCTGGGACTGGTTGGATCGGAGGGTGAGGGCTAGGGCCATTGCCCCCAGAAATGTCTGGGAACTTGCAGGTGCCTTGTTGGAAGAGTGGGGTAACATCTCACAGCAAGAACTGGCAAATCTGGTGCAGTCCATGAGGAGGAGATGCACTGCAGTACTTAATGCAGCTGGTGGCCACACCAGATACTGACTGTTACTATTTTGACCACCCCTTTGTTCAGGGACACATTATTCAATTTCTGTTAGTCATATGTCTGTGGAACTTGTTCAGTTTATGTCTCTGTTGTTGAATCTTGTTATGTTCATACAAATATTTACATATGTTAGGTTTGCTGAAAATAAACGCAGTTGACAGTGAGAGGAAGTTTCTTTTTTTTCTGAGCTTATGTGTGTCTGTAACATTCTCACTCATCATTACTCACGATTCATTCATGATTATCTGTAATCATGGTAGAATCCACAACAATGTAGAAGTGTTTGGAAACATATTCTATTCTTATTTACAATAAAAGTGACTCCAAAATGACACAATACATTATTTACCATTCATTTTTATTGGGCACAAAATAATCTGAAACACAACCAAAACAAACAGCAAATGCATCCAACCAATTTGTAGAGTCACAAGCTTGATGTAGTCATTGCGTGCTATGAATATGGGGCCAAATACTTAACTTTTCTTTAAAAAGTATTATTATTATTATTTTTTATTTTTTCGTGATATACAATTGCGATCTTTTTCATCGCTGCAACTCCCAAATGGGCTCAGGAGAGGCGAAGGTCGAGTCATGCGTTCTCCGAAAAATGCCCCGCCAAACCGCGTTTCTTAACACCAGCCCGCTTAACCCGGAAGCCAGCCGCACCAATGTGTCAGAGGAAACACCGTTCAACTGATGACCGAAGTCAGCCTGCAGGCACCCGGCCCACCACAAGGAGTCACTAGAGTGCGATGAGCCAAGTAATTGTATCATTTCAAATCCAAAGTGCTGGAGTACAGAGCCAAAACAACCCCAAAATTGTCACTGTCCCAATACTTTTGGAGCACAAAGCACTCTGTGAACGTCGTAGTTTTGTCCCATGTCTTTTAGTGCAAGAAAGCCCGATAGCTCTGCTCTCCACTCCCACTCTCCCGGCATGGCTGACTTGAAGGGTCTGGTTTCAGACCCCACATTTGCATAGGGAGTGACGTGTCACATTTTCTGGCCTATCCAGACAAAGGAACAATTTCCTGTTTCTGTGAAACTCACAGCTGCGCTATGAAACAGGAGAATCTAGCAGATGCAACGATACTAGTTTCCTTTCGCTGTGATATTCTCAGCCGGATTTAAAGCTCTCAACATGAAAATAAATACTAAATAATTTCATAAATTCGAATTAAGTCCAGACGGACGAAATCACTTTGTGCTTAAAGCTGAAGTTGCAACGAGTCTGCACACATTTGAATGGTGTTTCTGCGCCGCTCAATGGACGTTTAGGAGAAAATTCTCTGTCGGCAGTTATATGAAATAGTGCCAATATTGTACTGTCACTAAGTATGATCATATTTATTTTACAGTTATAAGAAATGTGAAATCGGATAGTAAGTTGTTTATAATTTGATTGTTACTATGTTTAGAAAGCATTTCAGTCATTTCAAGCCCTTTTGCCCCACTTTTGTTGAATAGGAAAAAAATATGATTTTTCCTATTTTCATCATATTTGTCCTACGTACTTGAGCTTGTGTCGTCAAATGTGAGTACACCTCAGCAATGTATAACAATTTCTACCAGAAAGGTACCTTCCAGACCTTTCCAAAACTATACAACATTACCAGTTACTGTTTATGCCCATCTCATTAAAAATAATTACATTTGGGTATGTCTGTTTTGGAAAAATCTACATTTTGCCCCATCATTCAACATTTAAATGGTTATTTGTGATCATCGAAATAAAGTGCATAGAAGGGAACCAGCTCTGTATATTGTGTGTGGTTTAAATGGCCAGTCCAACATTATGTCCAAGATGATGATATATTGACTTGGTCAGTTTGTATCCTTCAGTAATATTTGTTACAAATGAATAACAAGGTTCTTAAATGATTATTCAGTTCACAATACCACAAACTATTGACCTTTGAAGATGAAGTCATTGTCATTATTTTTCTGTGACCATTTTCAACAGTATGGACAGTATCCACTTTTAGAACAAAGACAAACCCACTTCAAACATATACAGGGCATTCGGAAAGTATTCAGACCCCTTGACTTTTTCCACATTGTTACGTTACAGCCTCAATTTCGAGTCTCATCGCAAAGGGTCTGAATACTTATGTAAATAAGGTATTTCTGTTTTTTATTTTTAATAAATTTGCAAAAATGTCTAAACCTGTTTTTGCTCTGTCACTATGGAGTATTGTGTGTAGCTTGATGAGGGGGAAAAACTACATTTTAATCAATTTTAGAATAAGGCTTTAACGCAGGGTTCTTCAATTCCGGTCCTGGAGGGCCGAGACACCTCTGTTTTTCATCCTCTCCTTCTAATCAGGGGCTAATTCAGACCTGGGACACCAGGTGAGTGCAATTAACTACCAGGTAGAAATTAAAAACAGAAGTGTTTCGGCCCTCCAGGACCGGAATTGAAGAACCCTGCTTTAACGTAACAAAATGTGGAAAACGTCAAGGGGTCTGAATACTTTCCGAATGCACTGTACCAATCTAGCCTGGTCCCAGATCTGTTTTTGCTGTGTGACAATGACCAAATTAGTTGGCAAGACAGCAAAAACAGATATGGTACCAGGCTGACACCGACCCACTATACATTGTAATCCTGCCCTGGTTCTTGCCTTCTCAGTCTGATCAATGCAGACTTCTGTGTAGCCAGCTGCCTGATAGCGTATGGGGCTGTGCTAGGCAAGGTGAGCCCAGTCCAGCTGATGGTGATGACACTGTTTGGAATCACTCTGTATGCTGTGGAAGAGTTCATTATCCTCAACCTCATACATGTAAGTCTTTAGTAAATAATAAAGGCTTTAATATTAAGTCCTGCATTAAACCTGCATACATGGTTCTCACGAACGTCCCACAGTGATGCTGTATCAAGGTCTGTTCTTCATTGATTGATTTCTGAATTCATTTACCGTTACAATAGGATTTTATGGAATAGATGTTGATATCCACATACGAATAAGGTGGCTGGTTTACTGTACATCATTCTCCCTTACAGGCCAGGGATGCTGGCGGCTCCATGGTGATCCACACATTCGGCGCTTATTATGGTCTGTCCATCTCGTGGATGCTGTACCGGCCCAACCTGGACCGGAGCAAGCGTCTGAATGGCTCTGTCTACCACTCTGACGTCTTTGCCATGATCGGTGAGTCTGAGTCACAATGGTTGACACTTTGCACATTTTCCATACTGGTATAGATGAAACAGTACTACCATGGATCCACCCCTGCACTGTAGGAACCCTGTTCCTGTGGATGTTCTGGCCTAGTTTTAACTCGGCCATCACGAACCACGGGGATGGGCAGCATCGAGCGGCCATCAACACCTACCTGGCCCTGGCCTCCACCGTCCTCACCACCGTCGCCATATCCAGTCTCTCCCAGAAGGCTGGCAAGCTGGACATGGTAATGTAATGAACCCATATGGTGTGCATTACATACATTGGCCTGGTCCCAGATCTGTTTGTGCTGTCTTGCCAACTCCTATGGTCATTGGAGTAATGGTCATACCCATTTCCTTTTTATCATGTATCTCCACTCAAGCTATTGGCCAACTCTTCTGTTACTGTGCTCCAGGTTCACATCCAGAACTCCACGCTGGCAGGGGGTGTTGCTGTGGGAACCGCAGCAGAGTTCATGCTAATGCCTTATGGGTCTCTGATCATAGGGTTCTGCTGTGGCATCATCTCCACCCTGGGCTACATCTATATCACGGTAATGTAGAATATGGAGTCACATTAGCTTTATTCATGAGATTTCTATCTGCAACATTCCACAGAATGTGCCTACCGAATGCATTGAAGGAGTGTATAGTAGTGACTAATGACTAGGCTACTCCTATTTGATTAGTTGGCATGTATGCGTCTGTCCCATCAGCCATTCATGGAGAAGTATCTGAAGATCCAGGACACGTGTGGCATCCACAACCTCCATGCCATGCCTGGGGTCATAGGGGGCATCGTGGGCGCCATCACTGCTGCAGCTGCCAGTGAAGGGGTCTATGGCAAGGAAGGGTGAGTTCACAGGTCACGGCAGAAATGCCCAACCAATGGCCTGATATTTCAGTCTGCTCAAGTTGTAGCAGCTTTGATGCGATGAACTCACGTGATATCATTATGCACATCCAATAGTGGCACAGAAGCTGGACAAGAATGCTGCGGCAAAGAAAAGTCCACCCAGTTTTCTGGTTCCAATTGTGATATTTTCCTTAGATATAGTAAATGGTTTTTATTTATTTTTAAATAGGTTGATAAACACGTTTGACTTCAAGGGGGATTGGAAAGACATGGTGCCGACCCGGCAGGGAGGACACCAGGCAGCAGGGCTCTGTGTTGCCCTCTGCTTTGGAGTTGGAGGAGGAATCATTGTTGGTGAGTTGGACACAACTTAATGGGCTCTCGATTAGGTTGTGTGTGCGCTCTTCAAAACAGGTTCTGAGATCCCAGGCCACCATACAGAAAAGGCTAATATACCGTAAGGTCAAGGGTTTTTAATTTACAAAAATCTGGTTCACACAATCCACATGCTCAGTCCCAGAAATACAGTCCATGCTGCTGGATGTCCTCAAGATTGGCTGCTGCCACCACCACCCTTCGGTCATCATCCGCTGGCGGCACCCAGCCCACAGAACAGTGCTGGCAGCACAGAGGGAGAGGAAACATCCATTCTGAACAGAAGTATTTGACCTCACCCACACATTTAGGGGTCTACCGTTCCTTATCTGCATGGTAGTGAGCGTTGTCGACGCTGGTCCCCCTCCGGGTTTCAGTGGTGGAGGCAGCAGCAGTGCGGTGATGGTCTTCTCCCTCCAGCAGCAGGCCCAGACTGGTGCTGAAAGCTCCTTTTTCAGTTGTGTGGTAGCTCGTTAAGTCAATCAGGCCCAGGTGTGGCATACCTGGGCCAACTCCTGTCTCCATGGAGACCAGCCAAGGGGGAGTCTACAATCAATAAATTAGAAAACACAAAAGGAGGGAGAACACAGCAAACCATAGAAATCATGCAAAATTTGAAAAAAACGCACAAAGTATATTAAATAAAGCAAGATCACTGCAAACTCAAAATAAATATTACATTCAGACGAAAAAGGCTGGTCTCCATTTTGGGGAAAATATAAGGGAGGCAACATGTGACACGTTATCGTGAGGACAGGTTATAAGGTAGCTGACAAGTTAATGTGGTATTGTATTATTGTGCGGCTGGGGTGGTGTATTTGAATAATTGCTGCATGTACTTAATGGTGTACTCAGCAGTGGTGAGATGAGGATGGTGTGTTTGTCCCTAGGCTGTATCCTGAGGTTACCTATCTGGGGGGATGCTCCTGATGACAACTGCTTTGATGATGATCTCTACTGGGAGGTGAGATACTGTACTAAACCATTACAGTCCAAATGCACTCAAAGCATAAAGACTGTGAAGCCATTTTTGAGCGATCTTTCTGAAGGTGATTTCTTTGCTTTTTTTTGTTGAGAATTTGAATAAAAATAATTGTACCCCTTTTGTTTTTATGAATGTGTCATTGTTAAAGGGCAGTATGTTTTTGTCACCTAAAACACTGTGTTACCCTAATACTGTCCTTCATGGAATGGTCAATACCAATATTTAGTTATTAGCTTGTCCCAAGTCCGAGGAGGTTTGCGTATTGTTATGACTAAATGGTATTTGGTTTGTAGAGGCTAAGGAAGGATATGGCAGTGGAAAATATGTTTACCTCTTCTTTTACATGCTATTGGAAGTTCTAATCAAATCTTTTGATAATGATGATTTCTGCCCTCAGTTACCTGAGGATGAAGAGAGCATTCCACCTATCCTGGAGTACAACAACCACATGCAGAACAGGGATGCGTAAGTAGCAGATTTGTGCAACAATAAGATTATGGAGGTTGGATTGTAAGGCTTTTGTTCATTATGCATTGTGAGATGGCATGACAATAGGCCCTGTTTTTTGGTTAGTCATGTCACATGACCTGGATTTGAACCTTTTTCATATTTTCTTTTTATGTCAGATGGTCCAGAACCATCTTCAGACAATTGCTTACATTTTTGGTCTAATTCTCATTTCTGGAAAATGTTTAAAATAAAGGTTAAAATCCAGGTCATGTGACTTGATTAACCAAAACACAGGGCCCTAAAAAGCCTTTGTCCTCATAAAATGTGTTATGTCAAATATCCTCAAGATGGCAGCAGACCACTGTGCTATATGCAGTGTATGCCCACCGCTAGTGAATACAATCCTTGTTTGGCCCCACACAATACCGTGAAAATTGCCTCAAATTAGTAGAGACAGCATGGCACCGTCACCTCTTACCTTGTTCTTTCAGAGTTTTTGATGTGTTTCTGGTGTGTTGATAGGGGTGTTCCATAGCTCTGGACGGGTTCTTTCTGAAAGTGACCTTGAAGTTACACAGTACCTGTTATGCTTGGCCTGAAAATGACAATGATACTGCTTTTAGAATAGGGGATTTTCAGGGCAGTGTCTGGGGATAAAAATAATTTAATGTGTGTGAGAGGAGGATTATGTCTAATTAGGAGGAATCTGTCTATTTGATGTAAAACAATCTAGAAAAAGAACAGGAACCAACTTTCTCTTAATTCCATTTAAGTGTACTGGTCAGAAAGTATGAATAAACTGTCTGAGACCTTGATATGATGAAACCACATTGGAGAAGCTGTGTAGCCTATGTGTAGTCCTGGGCTGTACCAGTTTCACACATAAAGGTTGTAATCTTAACTTAATGTTTTGTAATTCACAGTACAGAATCAGATTTCTCTATGGAACAGAGTCAGAACTGACACTAGAGCCTGATGTCATCTCCCCCCTACACCAACTGATGGTCCGATCCTACACCGACTCATGCTGTACAGAAACCACTCCTCTCCTCCTCACCACTCTGTATACTGTTCTGTTATGTTCATGGAATTTATAGTCAATCTTTTCTACTTTACATGGAATCACAACAATAACTCCCTGAGAAACAGTGACAATTGTTATCTTTGTTTAATGAAATCACATTGGAAAATAATACAATAACCAGACAGAAATAATGGTGCCATTTTTTATCACCAGTCAGGCCTAAGTCGAATCCCAAGCAGGTAACCCTACATCATTGATATTAACAGTATGATAGGTGACACATTGTCATTGTGTCACCTTACCAAATAAAGACCACAGGCCAAACCTCCGGTGATGCTGGTGCGAGAGGAATTATTGTAATAATCAGGATTTGTGGAGATTCCGTCCTTTTTGACAGGTATACTCAAATAAAATTGTCACATGCTTTGTAAACAACAGGTGTAGACTAACAGTGAAATGCTTACTTACGGGCCCTTCCCAACAATGCAGAAGCAGAATTGGTCAGGAGCCCTAAGACGGCAGCTATCTACTTCAGCGCCATCTTCAATCTTCTACTGTATGTCATGTTTTGTTTGTTTATAGCTTAGGTTGATGTTTTTTAGGTCCAGTTGGTTTTATGGTTTATCCAAATGGCACTATGGAATTTCAGCTCAAGCTTTCATCATTTAGTCATAGAACCTGATTCAATTTGCATCTCTGCATTCAAGGAGGGTAAAGTATATTTATGACTGTAGAGAAAGGGGTACATTACAGGTGTTTAAAGTGAGATGTGAATTTGATTAAACTAAATCAAGGCAAATAAGAACTGCTGCGTTTGGACGTCTTCACTTATAACCTGTTTGTTTTACATCTTTTATTTATTGTTCATTCTAATCTGTACGTTATGAAGCATTTTATTAAATCTAGCTACCCATTTGTGCAACCTCCTCACGAAGTGTTTGATGAGACTATTATTGTAGCCTAGTAGGTCTACAGTGTAGTAGGTCTTCACGGGTCCCCCCAAACCCGAATACCCGAGAGGGTCCGGGTCCAAAAATCCTTATTGTCATCAGTTCTCGGGTCTATGTAACTACAGCTGATAGACCCAAGTGGACCCGACCACGGCTCTGCATAGCCTAAAGCATATTAATTGTACGCTAATAAGGTGCATTTATTGACTTACAGACGGCCTAGCCAACATATAAAACCCTGTTCGTTAACCAGAAGATCGACTTGGCTGATAAACCTTGTGTCACTCTGGTCCAATCGGATCCGGGTCTAGGTCCAACTTTTTGCATCCGAGAAGACCTCTGGATAGCCTACTTTTTTTGTTTCTTTTTTTGTTATTGTTCCAAACAAGAAGTTCCCTCATAGAAAAAAATAAGTTAATCTATGACTTCATTTTGCAGGTCTGCTGCTTTGTTGAAAACATTGAGGACAAAATAAGTTCAGTCTTTCATTGTAAGATAAGTGGATCCAGGGCTGTTTCTATTAAGCTTACCAGGGCTAAAAAAAAATGTGAACCCTTCTAGACTGCTTCTTTTAGAAAAGCTACTCTTATTAGCAAGAAAATACATCCTATTTAATTGGATTACAGTTTTTTCAATCACTTTCGTGCAATTTTCACAAGTATGTGGTACATTTTCACAACTAAGCACAACAATCTAAACAGATAATCAAAACTAAGCACATTCAGTTAACTGAGTCAACTAAATTCACAAGGTCACTTGTTCACTGCACCAAATCACTATTAATTTGGATACATATTTAACATAAGTATTTGCTTTTATAAATGCATTATTCACTTTACTCATGATTTTCTTGTAATTTGTTAATACAATTAACTTTAGTCACCCTGCACTGCTGAAATACCTGATTTGTACAGTGCATTCGGAAAGTATACAGACCCCTTGACATTTTCCACATTTAGTTACAATACAGCCTTATTGTAAAATTGATTAAATAAAACATGTTCCTCATCAATCTACACAAAATACCCCATAATGCAAAGCGAAAACAGGTTTTTAGAATTTTTTACAAATTTATAAAAAACAAAAAACAGAAATACCTTATTTACATAAGTATTCAGACCCTTTGCTATGAGACTCGAAATTGAGCTCAGGTGCATCCTGTTTCCATTGATCATCCTTGAGATATTTCTACAACTTGATTGGAGAACACCTGTGGTAAATTCAATTGATTGGACATGATTTGGAAAGGCACACACCTGTCTATATAAGGTCCCACAGTTGACAGTCATGTCGGAGCAAAAACCAAGCCATGAGGTCAAAGGAATTGTCAGTAGAGCTCCGAGACAGGATTGTGTCGAGGCACAGATCTGGGGAAGGGTACCAAAATATTTCGGCAACATTGAAGGTCCCCAAGAACACAGTGGCCTCAATCATTCTTAAATGGAAGACGTTTGGAACCACCAAGACTCTTCCTAGAGCTGGCCACATGGCCAAACTGAGCAATCTGGGGAGAAGGGCCTTGGTCAGGGAGGTGACCAAGAACCAGATGGTCACTCTGACAGTGCTCTAGAGTTCCTCTGTGGAGATGGGAGAACCTTCCAGAAGCAAAACCATCTCTGCAGCACTCCACCAATCAGGCCTTTATGGTAGAGTGGCCAGACGGAAGCCACTACTCAGTAAAGGCACATGACAGCCCGCTTGGAGTTTGCCAAAAGGCACCTAAAGGACTATGAGACCATGAGAAACAAGATTCTCTGGTCTGATGAAACCAAGATTGAACTATTTGGCCTGAATGCCAAGCGTCACGTCTGGAGGAAACCTTTCACCATCCATACAGTGAAGCATGGTGGTGGTAGCATCATGCTGTGGGGATGTTTTTCAGGGGCAGGGACTGGGAGACTAGTCAGGATCAAGGGAAAGATGAACGGAGCAAAGTACAGAGAGATCCTTGATGAAAACCTGCTCCAGAGCACTCAGGGCCTCAGACTGGGGTGAATGTTCACCTTTCAGCAGGACAATGACTGTAAGCACACAGCCAAGATAACGCAGGAGTGGCTTCGGGACAAGTCTCTGAATGTCCTAAGGGGCCCAGCCAGAGCCCGGACTTGAAACCGATGGAATATCTCTGGAGAGACCTGAAAATAGCTGTGCAGTGATGCTCCCATCGAACCTGACAGAGCTTGAGAGGATCTGCAGAGAAGCATGGGAGAAACTCCCCAAATACAGGTGTGCTAAGCTTGTAGCATCATACCCAAGAAGACTCAAGGCTGTAATCACTGTGTTTCAACAAAGTACTGAGTAAAGGGTCTGAATACCTATGTACAGTGGCTTGCGAAAGTATTCACCCCCTTGGCATTTTTCCTATTTTGTTGCCTTACAACCTGGAATTAAAATGGATTTTTGGGGGGGTTGTATCATTTGATTTACACAACATGCCTACCACTTTGAAGATGCAAAATATTTGTTGTTGTGAAACAAACAAGAAATAAGACAAAAAAACTGAACTTGAGCGTGCATAACTATTCACCCCCCCCCCCTCAGGGTGATGAGAAGTGTTGGGTTTGCGCCAGACATAGCGTTTTCCTCAATGGCCAAAAAGCTACATTTTAGTCTCATCTGACCAGAGTACCTTCTTCCATATGTTTGGGGAGTCTCCCACATGGCTTTTGGCGAACACCAAACATGTTTGCTTATTTTTTATAATGAATTTAATGGTGCTCCGTGGGATGTTCAAAGGGGGGGGGACTTTAGTGAGGCTGGGCTGTGGAAACAGAATGGAAAATGACATCTACCATCTACTATTCTTTCTATTCAGCACTTCAAAACTAATTGTTTTGTAATGTGTATGTTATATTTTTTGCTATTGGATTAAATGGTACTTAAAATGACTAAATGGTGAGCCTATCATTATCTGATGTATTGGTGACTAAACAAAATGTGCTCATGTCACGCCCTGGCCTTGAGAGGCTGGTTGTCTTTAGTTGGTTTGGTCAGGGCGTGAGGATCTATGTTAGAATTTCTATGTTTAGGATCTAGATGTGTTGT